AACTCCCAATACAAATTGGGTTTATACTTTATAGGGTTTTCAAGTGATGATGATGGCCGCGCGCGGCGAGTTTTTCTTATCGGAGCCAATAATCCATCGCATACAATCTTTTCTCAATGGAAGAGAAGCTGCGCAAACAACTGTCCTGTCTAAATCTTGGCGCCAAGCCTGGCTCACTCGCCCCAACTTGGACTTTGATACGTCCCACTTTTCCACTCTTGTTGAATTCCCAGAGTTTATGGACAAGACTATTCGAAGGTATGAAGAATCGAACCTAATGATTGAGAGTTTCAGTCTAAAAAGGGGCAGTTTGAGTTAATTTATGTGAAGATGTGATTATTAAAGCACTGGGAATGGGTGTTACTCGTCTTAGCCTTGAAATTCGTGAATCGCGTCAACCTTGTTGCTTTGTTGTGCCGGCTGAGGTGTTTGGCTGCAGAGACCTTGTGGAACTATCTCTGAATGGGGGAAAAATCGGCTTTGCTCCCGAGCATCAGGTACAATTTCCGAGGCTCAAAGCCCTTAGTTTAAGCGACGTCGGGCTAGAAAGTGATGAAGTAATTTCTGGTTACTTTTGGGCTGCCCCTTGCTCGAAAAACTGTCACTCACAGTATATGATACCATAAGTCTTCCTAACTTGCCAAAGCTAACGCATTTGGAGCTAAGCCATCTGAGAATTAATACCTCGTTCTTTTTAAGTGACTTATCTTGTAAATACCCTTTGCTGAGAGATTTCTCGATGCAGTGTGACTATTTGGAATCAGATATATTCATTTCTAGCCACTCAATCGAGCATTTAGATATCGAAACATATTGGACCACTGACACAGTATGTCTCGAGTTTGATGTTCCAAGTATTCGTAAGTTTAAGTTAAGCTTGGACAATCTGTCATCTTCCCTGTCTTTTAAATCAACAAATTTAAGGGAATGGGAGTCTCATTTATCCATAATGTCGGGTTGTTGTGTTGGTACTGTGGGAGTCATTGGGTTGAATAAACTATTAACCAGTTTGAGAGGGTCCAAAATTCATCTCTTGATACAAGTATACAGCAGCAAACATAGCTTCAATTATGACGTGTGGGATTTCAATGGTTTGACGCTTCACCAAGTCGAGGAGTTGACGATAGATGTCATGGACTGCGACATGCCGTCTTTGACTAGTTTTGCTATTTTTGATGGTTTGTTTCGATTGTGCCGTCCAAAGTTCATCACTCAGCAGAATCAGACTCTTGACGCCCCGCGTGATTTCCTTTTTAAGACATTTCTCAGGCACGAAATAAGCCACGAATGCTCGGCTAGGAGCCTTGGTATGTATGGTTTGCGGCATCTTGAGGAAGTAAGAGCTCAGATTTTTTATGCAGATGTTTACACTTGGTGGCTTATTACGTGGGATACTTGGGATGCTTTGAAGGACAAGAAGAAAATCCGGTTCCAGTTGAAGTGGAGAGATGAAAGCCAGCAGGTTAATTAAAATTAATGTTATTGTGCCTTTCATTGATCTTGTTAATTTATTTGCGTCTTCCCATCTTTCATGTTCAATTCAATAAAGAAGGTGTGCCGGAACATGAGTTGGATAATTTCACGATAGACGTGGATGGCTCATCGTCTTTAATCTGTTATTTATTTTTTTTTTGTGGTTTGTTTTGGAGTTGCCGCTCAGAATTTGATTGATCATTGCTCTTTCCTCGTTTCTTAAGTTTGATTTATAATGGTTTCATAAGTTTCTTCATTATAGAATATGATTCAAGACTTCAAGTCATCATATCTTAATGCTAATTTGGCATTTGGCTCATACGATCTAATGTATATAATACCTAAATGAATGTCAAACCAATAAATGATTTTTGGATGTTAAATGCTATTGGATTAGTTGCTTGCATTGCATTGCGCAATGAAGTGTACTTATTTTTATGAGATTGAGTGCTCGACTGAAGGGGTTCATATTGTGGTAATTGTTTCCTAAAAGAATATTGCTTTTATTTTCCTGTAAGGCCCCGCATGACAAACCCACACTGCGACACCACGTCTGCCTCCGTTGTATCCGTCACTCCATCTCCGTTAAGGTCCCTCGTCAATAAATTACTCGATTTTTATGCCGCATTTGTTTTCTCTGTTAAGCTCGACCCGATTTTACACCTTCCGGCTCTGTTAAGTGTTAAGCCGTTTAAAGACTTGGTTTTGTATTGGTTTATTAATAGTTTAAAGCTGCTCTTATTAGGTTGGTTCTATGATGTGTATTTGAATTTCAATTGTGGTATGCCTGACTAGATAGCTAAGTTCAACAGTTGGCCTGGTTTGGCATTTGACATTAATTTCATACATAATTAAAATAATATTTAAATAAATTTTGTTTTATTTATTTTAATTTTATTTATATATATTATTACTTAAATTCATTAAAACATATTTTAGTTTTGACATTAAGTTGAGGGCTCCTCCGTCTAGGGAATTTGATGACACGTCAAAGTCCACGTCGTTCGAGAAAAATCATGAGATTATTAATAATAGGCCTTTTGTCTCACCCTCGCTGCCAATTGAAGATCTCTACAGTCGTCGGAATCATCATGAGAGCAGATTTTTGCTATGTCTCTTATGTGATCGTGTGTAGTGAGCTATAATATATTGTTGCATCAGTTTGTGATCATGAGGTGCAGATTTTCCCCACAACATGTCAACAAATGGCAGTTCGAGATATGAGCGACAATGTGGATGAGGGATATGATTATACGAGCATTTGGCGTTAATTGAGTTTTAACTTATAATTCTATCTTTGTTAACAATATAAATCACAGTATTTATTTTTCAAATATTGACGGATGGATTTTTGTTGAAAGAGGCTTTCTTTGTTCTATGATGATGATATGTTGATCATTGTTTCGGATTATATCGAAATTTGTTTAAAGCTTTTATCCGTAAAGCATGCTAGCGATGTGCACATGCTTGTATTTGGTTAACTTGCTGCTTTATTTGAGAATTGAGATTGATAAAAGTTGTAGTTCAACTATGGTGAAGAGTTTCTGCAAGCTGAATGAGTTGGAGAGGGGTTTTGAATTTTTGTGTCTGTTTTAGATTTTCACTAACTTGTAATGTCCCTTCATGTGGTCTCAGTTTCTAGATTTTTTGTCAACGAAAACCATTAATATGATCTTATTTTGCAAGAACTGTTAGTACAGATTGCAAAAATTTATAATCATCGCCTTGTAACTTTACAGTAGCAAACAGAAAAGATGTATTAAAGCAATTGATCCCATAACTAACTATATTGTGGTTTTATAATCATCATGTTAAAATTAGTATAATGTGACCAATGAAATATTAGAACTTGCAAAGATTTCTCTACTCCCAATGGTAAAACAATATTATAATGGTTAATTCACCAAAGCTTCAAATTTTCCAACATGTACTATACGTGCTTTTGGGATTTTCAACTAAAAGTATTTTTTGTTGTAAAATGCAACATGAACTACATATACAGTCACTATTTGCACGCTCGACCACATCTTGACAATACACGTGTCCTTTTTTAATTTGCATATGATCGGACGGTAAAAAAGTAGTCGAGCGTGCAAATAATTGTATATATGTACCTTACCGGTAGACGTCTTGGAAAGCTCTTACACAAACACCACCTTCCTCAACAACATGAACGCCGTCTCCCTATCCCTACAATGCGGCACCATATCCGCCTCGTCCACCCCCTTCCGCAGCACCACGAACGTGCACAGACTCTCCACCCACCTTGCGTGCAGCACCGCCAGGTACTCGTACAACACCGCCTCCATCTCCACGCTGCTCATGTTCTCCTCTCTCGATATTATATCGTCCTTGAACCGGTCCTTGGTTTTCAAGTGACCAGCCCCCACGTTCCCTGTGCAGCCACTCGCCCCTCCTCCAAAGGCCGCCCGCGTGGCACCCTCATCCTTCAGGTACCCTTCATGACCCCGCTCCCCCTCACCACGACCTACCCAAAAGCCAGATACTTCTTTTGTTTGAGGTTATAAGTTATGAAAAAAGAGTATATAAGTTAGGGGGGAAAATTGGAGAAGCACCCATTTGAGGTTTGGTCCTCTCCGATGCCCACTTTTCGATCACGTCCCGTAAGTGGTAAAAATCGTGATATTTGGTTCTCACACCTGCTATCGCAGGTAACTTTCACCGGCTAGCCTACGTGGAATTTTTACTTTTTATTTTTCGTTGAGTTGTATAATTACTTGCATATTTTAAAAAAGATGGAAAAGTGAAGATAAACGCGTGGCACCCTCGTCCTTCAGGTACCCTTCATGACCCCGCTCCCCCTCACCACGACCTACCCAAAAGCCAGATACTTCTTTTGTTTGAGGTTATAAGTTATGAAAAAAGAGTATATAAGTTAGGGGGGAAAATTGGAGAAGCACCCATTTGAGGTTTGGTCCTCTCCGATGCCTACTTTTCGATCACGTCCCGTAAGTGGCAAAAATCGTGATATTTGGTTCTCACACCTGTTCTCACACCTGCTATCGCAGGTAACCTTCACCGGCTAGCCTACGTGGAATTTTTACTTTTTATTTTTCGCTGAGTTGTATAATTACTGGCATATTTAAAAAAAAGATGGAAAAGTGAAGATAAAGGGATTTGAAACTGGGATGTTGAGGATTCAAAATGGGCTTATGATCCACTAGACCTACGACAACTTATGTTAAAATCTTGACTTCACTTATATATCAATGGAGAATGTTTAAAAAAATATATATATATATATATAGATATATATATATATATGCTCAATTTATAATACTTTTAATTATAATCCTAATTTATTTATTAAATATGTATTACTTCCGAATTAAAATATGTAAACTAAATAAATAAAAATAATATTATATTATATATTTAATTACCTTGTTTAGTTAAATTTTTGTTATCATCAATGTTGTTTTTTATACTAATTTATATTACTAAACTTTAATTAATTTTTTATATATCAAATAAATAGCTACTAAATAAATAATACGATTCTATATTACTATATTTAAATGAATATATATATATATTAAAAATTATATTTCATATTTAAATAAATAAATGTATTAAATAATAAATTTTATATTATATATAAAATAATAAATATAATAAATAACTAAATAACAATTAAAGGCTGTTGGTAATAAACTAATATATTAAATAAATAATTACTCAATAAATTTTATTTAATTAAATATTTCTAATTAAATATATAATATTTTTCAGCAGAGAGATATTTGTCAAGTAAGAACCAGTCCCAAGTTCTACTTTTTTTTTTTTCCAAAATGATAGAAGCATATATATAAAACCTCAAAAGAACACTGTTATCCAATACAATTAAAAGACTAAACCCGGAATAAAAGAAATGAGAGGACACGCTCGCAGGCGGCCTAGAACCTCGAAAAGAGAAAGACACTCAAACTGCAACTTCCACTAACAACTCTCCACTGCCAAAGCCTAGAGAGTGAAAACAACAAACAAACAAAAACAAGCCAAACAAAGACAAACAAGGCCAACAGAAACTAAACTAAACAAAGCAACAAAACAGAAGGAAAATCAACCAGCTAGCTGAGCAAACTCCATCCATTGTCTCTGGGCTGTTTTAACAATTTGAGGAGCTGAGAGAGAAGTGTTCTGAAATATCCACAGGTTACGAGTTTTCCAAAGCCACCACAATAAGTAGGTAGTCAATTGGATTCTGGATTCAGCAACTTGACCAAGCTTTAAAGAGCATAAATTTGACCACCAGCATTTGAATGAGGAAGTGTAGGAGTTCAGACCATCCCATTTCACAGGAGCAATGCCCAAACCCTGCTGGCTTTAGGGCAGTGGAACAACAAATGCTCTACAGTTTCTTTCTCAAGGCCACAAGATTGGCAAGTGACATCTAGTTGAAGGCCTTTTTTCACCAGATTCATCTTCACAGGTAAAGAGCCAGAGAGACATCTCCAAATGAAATGTTTAATCTTACCTTGAACTCTCAAATTCCAGCATCTATTAAACATGTTATACTTGCTGTCATAGGGAAGAGAGAAGCTGGTACCTGGAAGATTGAGAGCAAGGATTTTTTGAGAGTTGAGATGTGCATATGTACTGGCCACTGAAAACTGCCCCTTTTTATCAAAAGCCCAGAAGCATCTATCAGCCTTATCAGGGTTCAGAGAGCAAATATCAAGAATAGCTTTACTGTCAGATTCATTGAACAATTGAGTTACCAGCCAATCATTCCAGCCAAATCCAGAGGGGTTCAACAGCTCTTTAACCCATGTAATGTGACCTCTGGCTATCTCCAGAAGATTGGGCTTAGGGTTGCAAAGATTTGGAACCCAGTTAATATCATCTATCCTTGTTGTGGCCCCATTTATGATTTCAACTCTAAAGCCCTTAGCAACAATAGGGATAACAGATAGCCAGTTTGACCAGATCCAAGAACAATTATTGGGTGTAACAGCATCAAAGATAGAACAGCAA